CGATTTACAAAGAGTTTAGTTCACCATCGAACTGACCGAAGTGAGCCGCCAGCTGTCCGATGCTCACGGCGACACGCAAGAGACCGAGCGGAACAAGCGACGCCAAGAGGCCGTCGACAACCTGAAGCGTGTCTTCCCGGACAAGGTTTTATTTTTTTATCGAAATTAAATAATTTTTTAGGTCCACGGCCGTCTCGTCGACCTCTGCACGCCCTCGCACAAGCGCTTCAACCTGGCCGTCACCAAGGTGCTCGTCAAGCACATGAATTCCATCGTCTGCGACACCGACGCCACGGCCATGGACGCTATCCAGTACTTGAAGGTGACTTTAGTTTCCTGTTTATGGCGTTTAGCATTTTTTATTCAAATTTTTATTGATTGATTGTCATTGGAATCCTCTCTTCAAGTTTGTAGAATTTTTTGACCGTAACTTGTCAATTAAATTTAAAATGAAAATGTGTAATTATTATTAGAATTTAAATTTTTAGTCCAAATTTTTGTCTTTAGGAGCAACGCTACCCGCCCGAAACTTTCCTGCCGTCAAACAGCCTCGACGTCCAGCCGATCAACGAGAAGCTGCGCGAGATCAAGCAGCCGGCCGGCGTGAAGCTCGTCTACGATGTCATCAACGTACGCTTTTACTAAACGTGATTCAGTTAATTTTATAATTATTGGCTTATAATTCCCTAAATTTCATATATAAGCGTTTCGGATTTTCAAGAATTAAATTAGCTTTTTTCAGTGCGCAAACCCGGCTGCGCGCAAGGCCCTCCAATATTCCTGCGGCAACTCGTTGATCTGCGACAACGCGGAGGACGCGAAGAGCTTGGCGTACGGCGCCATCGGCCACGGCGAGCGCTACAAGGCCGTCGCCCTCGACGGCACCCTCTTCCAACAGTCTGGCGTTATCTCCGGTGGTGGTGCGGATCTGAAGCAGAAGGCGAAGAAGTGGGACGAGAACGCGATGCGGTAATATTGAAATTTTTGTCGCAATTCATGCTTTTTTAGAAAGTTGAAAGATCGTCGCCAGGGCCTGGACGAGCAAATCATCGAGCTCAACAGGACGAAAAAGAAGGAGATGGACGTGGACGCCAAAAGGTTTGGTTTTAAAATTTAACGGCTAATACTTTCTACAACTTTTTTGTTTCGTTTTATTCCAATAAATTTAATTTTTAAATTGCATTTTCTATTCTGTATTGTAGTTTAACTTTGTATTCTTATTTTCCAGGAGCACCGTCAGCAACCTGGAGCGCAAGATCGAGGGCTGCAGTCGGCAACTGCAACAAATGCGACAGGAGGGCACCGCCAAGCTGGAGCAGGAGCTCGAGGTGCTGAAGGCCGAGCTCGAGGCCATTCCGGTAAATTATCGTTTTGTCTTCGTGTACCTTTTATTTAGCCTAAAATCGAGGAGCTGGAGAGCCGCATCGAAGACATCCAGAAGGACCTGACCGCCTTCGAGAAAAAGAGCAACGCCGTCGCCGACGAGGTGTTCGCCGACTTTTGCAGGCAGCTCAAGATCCCGCACATCCGCGTCTACGAGGAGAAGGAGTTGAGGTGAGTTGGGAGAATTAACGGCTTTTAAAAAAATTTATATTTATTACAAAAATTTTCAATTTATTTCCGCTTTTCAGATTCCAACAAGAACGCCAATCCACCCTCAAGAAGTTTGACGCCGAGATCGACCGCGTTCAGCAGGAGCTCGAGTACCTGAAAAGCGAGGACAAGTCCCAGCGCCTCAAGACCGAGCAGGACAAGGTACAAAATTTTTTGTTTTCCTTTTAATCCTTCAATTCAGGTCCGTCGCCTCGAGAACGAGCTGGAGTCGCTGAAGAAACGGGAGCACAAAGAGGAGAAGGTGCTGAAGAAGCTGGAGAAGGAGCTTGAGGACATGAAGGTCAAGGTGGGAGATTTGTGGCCTAAATCAGCTACGGCTTTTTGTAGCTGCTCGAACGGAAGACCGAGCTGGAGGAGGCCGAGGCTGAGCTTCAGGCCGCCAAGAAGGAGGCTTCTACCGTTCATCGAGAAGTGACACAGGCCGAGAAGGTACAGCTTATTTCAACGAATTTTTGGCTATTATCGCTACGATTTTGAAGCTATTGAAATTTTTTTTTAAATGCCTTCGAATTGATATTTTTAGGCGGTAACCGGCCTTCAAAACGAGCTGGAGCGACGCCAGCAAGAACGGCATCGACTTCTTCACAACGCAAAGATTCAGCAGATCAAGCTGCCGCTCTCCTCGGGGTCCCTTGCCGACATTGAGGCCGAAGATGACGACGATGAGGGTATTTTTTTTGTTTTTACGAAAACCTTATTTTCTAGACGACTCCCAGCCAACCACCTCGCAAGTCTCGAAGGAGCAGCTGGACCGTGAGACCAAGATCCACCTCAACTATCGGGATCTGCCCTCGGAATTGAGAAAGGTAAATTTTTGGTAATAGCTTATTTTCATGCTCATGTTTTGTAGCTGGACGATGAGGACAAGATTCGGCGGGCGAAGGAGCAGCTGGAGAAGGAGATGGCCAGCCTGCACTCGATGCTCGGGCGACTCGCTGCGCCAAATATGAAAGCCAATCAACGGTGCGCTTTTTTCTTTTTTTTTCAATTCATTTTTATTTTAGAATGGAAGAAGTGAAAGAAAAGGAGCAGGAGACGACCAACGAATTCGAGTCGGCACGGCGGAAAGCTAAGAAGGTAGAGAATTTTAATTTTGCCTTAATTGAAATGCGCCTAGATCCGGACCCAATTCGAGAAGGTCAAGACCGAGCGCTACAGGCGATTCATGGAATGCTTCGAGCCGGTTTCACAGAAGATTGACGAGATTTACAAGGTATGCAGAGCATCTGGAAATGAGTAGGATTCTTTCTTTTTAGTCGCTCTCCCGGAACCAATCTGCGCAAGCCTTCCTCGGCGCCGACAACATGGAGGAGCCGTACCTAGAGGGCATCCAGTACAACTGCGTCGCTCCCGGCAAGCGCTTCCGGCCGATGGACAACCTGTCGGGCGGTGAGAAGACGGTGGCCGCGCTCGCGCTTCTGTTCGCCATGCATGCCAGGTTCGGAATTTGGACTTCTAGGTTTTTAGTTTTTCAAAAGGTTTTCTACGTTTTTCTAGTAGTTTTAAAGTTTTATGCTTTTATGTGGCAAAGCCTTGTAAAGTAAACTTTAACAATTTTTTGAGACATAAAAACCATCGAGTTTTCGACCAAAATTGCCAAATTTTATAGCGTTGTAAGGCTTTGTAAGGCTAATGCAATACCTTGATTTATGTTTTTGGTATCGAATTAATCTTATAGTCTTAGCCGATTTTTGTTTTTCTCATTTTTTGAGGCTAACGAAAATCTCCTTTTCAGGAATCCCTCCCCGTTCTTCGTGCTCGACGAGGTCGACGCCGCCCTCGACAACACCAACATTGGAAAGGTTCGGATTTTCAAAATTTCTTGAAATTTACACATTTTCAGGTAGCCCAGTTCATCTGCGAGACGGCGCGCAAGGAGATGCAGCTGATCGTCATCTCGCTGAAGGAGGAGTTCTACAACAAGTCGGACGCGCTCGTCGGCATCTACCCGCAACCGGCGAATTGCACCGTCTCCGGCGTGCTCACCCTCGACCTCACCAAATTCCGGGTGAGTTTTTGATTTAAAATGGAGTTTTTGGAGCTTTCGCATTATCGGGGGGGGGGACAACCGAATTTTTCCTATAAGTCGCGATATTGTTTGCAATGAAATAGCCATATAATTTAATAAGTTTAGAAAATTGAGCTAATTTCAAGTGAATAACCCATTTGGAAACTTGGTAAAACGTTCAAACTTTGAATTTTTGACCCAAAATCGCCTATTTTTGTTTCAAAAATGGCCCTTTTGTATTTTAATATTTTTACCTTCAAAAGGGCTGTTTTGATATTCTTTATTTTATTTTAATCGAATGTGTAATTTTTTTGTCGTTTAGGTCAACTAAAAAACGGTTTAGAAAAAAAGCCCCAATATTCCCCAGAAGGTGTTTTGCTAAAATATGCTTTATTAAAATGTTCTATATCATACGGTTTTTTTTTTCAGCAAAGCGGCTCCAGCGGCGACACGACAATGATGCCCTGATCCCTCCGCCACGCAACTTCATCGATTCCACCCCTTTTTTCGCCCCGTTGATACAAGATCTCAAAAGTTAATTTGCCGACCTCCACCAGTTTTCCCATTGTTCTTACACTGTTCCCCCCGTTGTTTCACTTGTACCCCCCACATTGCCTCCCCTCCTTACAAATGTCAAAAAGCCCCCGCCCACCCAGTCACTATTGCCTTTAAAGTTTGTGTGAAGTTTTTGTGTGTTGCTCCATAGGTCTGATTATGGCTGGCGAATCTCTTGAACTGCTAGCAAACGTTGTACAGCACCGAATCACCGAATCCCCAATTATCACTTGATATGCAGTAGGCCACTACTTTGACGATGCCAACACATATATTGAAACACTTACAGATACACACACACAGCTATCCCCTTCGCCTCATTTATGCGCATGATCTGATGTTGTTAGCTTTTTGTGCCCCTAACCCATTTGAAGAATAAATTATTCCAGTTGTAACAAGGAGTGGAAAAGCGTTGGATTCAGTTTTTGGCTGGATGAACGGTCTATCGAGGAATTTGTATGGTTTTGGAGAGATTGTGAAGTTGTTCGTCTTAAAATTTTATTTTTAGTTTTGTAAATCGGATTTTGAAGATTTGTAGAAGTTTTTTTATAGAGTGTCGAGTTATTATAAAGAGTTGTCAGTGTTTCTTTGTAAATTTTTTGAGGATATGGTGAATAAATATTCGTTTTTCTGTTTTGAGCCATTGTAAAGGGTTTTTTTTTCTTTTGTAGAGTTCTTAACTTATTGCCAAAGAGTTCTTTGGTATTTTATAGTATTTAGACGATTAAAACCAGGCTATTAAATCGGTTTCGTCAATTTCTCCCAGAATTTTTTTCTTTTGCGTCGGCGTAATCAGCCTTATAATCCCTATTACCTGATTCAGATGAGCAGCTACTGGTTCAAGAACTTTTGCGGGTTGCCCGTCACTGACTTCGAGCTGCTGAAGGTAAAAATCGATCGTAGATGGAAATCTCCATTTTTTAGGTCCCTCATCCCGGCGCCGAGTTCTCCATTCATGTGACGTTGCGCAGTATTCAGGTAGAAAATTAGTCTTTTTAGCGCTATCCAAACCTACACACCACATACACAACAACCCTTTCTTTTTCAAATCTACCCTAAAATTTAAACTCACCCAAAACCTCCTTTCCAAAGCACCATACTCACATTTTATTTTATAAAATCATCCATTCTCAAAAAACAACGTTTTTTCAATCAATTCTCTATCGAATAGCTGTCTCAAGGAATTCCATACACCCAAAAGGCACTCCTTGTTAGAGCTGTTTCTTAGAGTTTTTACAAAACCGTAGTTTCTAGCTACCGTTTATTATCATCTATTCAGATTTTTAGACCGGCGCCCTGCTCGGCTTCCGATCCTGGGCCCGCTCTCAACGGCGCTCTTCGCCAACACGGAACGCCGATTCGACCTGCGGACCGTGAAGTCGCAATTCGTTTCCGGTGGAATGCAAGGTATAAAATTTTGCAAATAGTTTTACTTTATGATTCTAGGCGCGCTGATCGGGGCCGTGCTGGGCCCGTGCATCACGTGGTACTCAATTCGAAACATGAGTACCGTGGCGCTGTATGATAAATGCTACAAGTTGAGGTGTGTTTTTTAACAGATCGCGACGATTTTGCGCATTATTTAATTGCCATTGTGCTTCCGTTTAGCAGGGAGCAAATTTTCAGCCGGGAGGAAAGTAACTTTTTCCGACAGCATATTTAGATTTAGGTTTTTTTTTATAGAATTTTACGCTGTTTTTAATATAAAAACCCTTGGTATGTGATTCCAAAGTAGAAAATGTTATTTTCCATCGTTAATTTGTGAAAATGACCTAATTGATGGAAAAATTATACTTTTGGATACCTGGTAAAGTCTTAATACAGTTTCTAAGGATTAGCAGCGGCTAAAAAACACTATGAAAACGTTTGGAGTTTTCAGGGGTTGTACTTTGACAACTTTATCGATCAAATTTTTATTTTTCAGATTCGACAACCAACAACTCTGGCTCGACCGGACAACTGTGATTTCGGGCGCTGTCGGTGCGCTGTCGAACGGAAGTCTCGGCTTCATCGTCGGCCTCGACCTCGCCCTTGTCATGAGCAACCTGATGGGCCGTGCCTGGTGATTTCCGCGTAATTTTGCCATTTTTTCGTAGTTGCCCCTAACCTTTGCCCATATCTCGCCCCCCGTCATTAGCATTCACTTTTTTACGGTCCTCTTCCCATTTTTGCATAACCCTTCACCACGTTGCCCAATGTACAGCCCCCGCCTTTTTTTGACTAGTACGTAGCTTGCCATAACGCAGTATATACGGTGCCTTTGTCTAGGATATTTGCTGAATCGAATAAAGCATATTTTGTATGAAAAGGTATATTGTTGTAATTTCGTGTTTATCAGGGTTGTTTAGGGACGGACGGGACGGACGGGGACGGGGACGCGTCCCCGTCCCCTAATTTGCATCCTGAAATGGGGACAGACGGGGACGGGACGCGGACGGTGGGGACGGACGGTGACGGGCAGCGTCCCCGTCCCCGATGCAAATTACGGAGATAAAGTACTGGCATTCAAATCACGCTTCGGCTGGGTTTAGAATTTGGCAGAGCAAGGTACAAAACGTGGATAGCATGATTACGATGAAGCCCTTATAACCTAGCACGTAGAGTAAGTCACCAATTGCTTTCTAACTTGAATTTCTCGAATTTTTAAGCTCTGTAGCAAATTCAAAAAATGGTGATTATCTGCAGCGCCGACGCCATCTAGGTATAACTTACAGATTGGTCTGAGTTGCATGTATTTTTGACTGCCCTAAATAAACGAGAAGGAGACCCGAAATAATTACTGGTAGGAAAACCATTTGCATTTCCGCATTTGCATCGGGGACGGGGTGACGCTGTCCGTCCCCCTGTCCCCCGTCTGTCCGTCCATCCCTTTTCGGACGCGTCCTGGTCCGTCCCCTAATTTTATGCAAATTAGGGTGACAGTCCGCGTCCCCGTCCGGACACGGACGGACGGGGACGGGACGCAAAATGACCAACCCTGGTGTTTATTCTTGCTTTTCCGCGAGAAAAAGTAATGTTTTAAGTAGTACTGTAAAGGGAAGAAGTGGTTTTGGATTTTAGGGCCACCGAATTGGATTCCGCAGAATCTCGTTTTGCTAAAAGTCCATTTTGATTTTCTTTTCTCATCGAATTTGTTTACTGAAAAATTGGCTCTTTCGCGTGTCGGGGGGGGGGGGGAGGGCAACCCAATTTTTTGCCCAAATCTAGAAATGCCTAGTAACTTAATAGTAAGTATTTATACCGTGGTTTTGGTCAAATAGGACAATATTTAAGCGAAAAACTATCTAAAAACTTTAAAAATAGTTTGAAAAAGTCGAAGTTTTCGTCAAAAGCCTGCAATTTTTGATCGACAACTCGTTATTTTTGTATTTTTTAAAATAGAAATTTGTAAAGTTTTTACTTTCCTTAGAAAAGTTGGTCGCCATGATAGGGCGAAAGAACCGAAAATGAATTGAGAAATTTAGCCAAATCAAAATTTAGCGCAATAAAATCCGGCGAAATGCAAGCGCGGCCAAACGAAAGGATCGAAAAACTCGACTCGAGTCAAAGTTGTGGGTGGTGGTGCGATGTTCCTTGGGCGGACATGCGAAATGCGGGGTTGTATCTGTTCAGCTGCATGTCGACTCGGTGACCCGGGGCCCGCCCGACTTTTTATTTACTAAAAAACGGCGGTGGACCCTTTTCGTACGCACTCCCACGTAGATGACGAGCAAAAAAATGAGGGGAGGGGCGTGTAATGTTGAAGTCACCGGCCGCCTTGTACCGACCCCGAGTTCGGACTGTTTGGACAGCGGGGAGGGGCGGGATATTCGACGAGATGGTATAAATATTCGCGAGGTGAAGCTTGAACATCATCAATTGAAGCCGTTCAGCCATTCAAACTTGCCCAACTCTACGAAAATGATGAAGCTGGCTGTTGCGTCGCTTTCCGGTTGGATTTTGGGTTTTTTCCGGGTTATCGGGCTGAGATTCGGGAGTTTAAAGGGACGCGCAATGTAAGTGTATGGATTTTCCGTCCTTGCATTCTGAATAGGTTTTTTTGGCTCGGCCGCGATACACGACCTGCAATCTTGATTTTGCCATTGCGTAATGCTACGAGCCCTTCAACAGGGTCACGCGGCGTGCGCGCTGGGTGTCGCGGCGCGGTAGGATACCTCACAAATCCCGGGACATCCCCTTGCTTGTCCCTTTAAATTATCTATTCAATTGCTTGTTTGATTCGGAGCTCTGTGACTTATATGACGTAATGTTTTACGAAGACTTCAAGGAGGTGTGCGTGTTGCGTATCACATGCGTAGACGGGACGGGTAGCCAAAAACCCGCACAGGCATCGTTCTCCCGGCTTTGAAAACGTAGTAATCATTTAGTTTTGGTTAGAAAGATGTCGGGTGTATTAAAAAGCAAATTTTTTATTTTTTATAACGCAAATTTTCCAGTTCTCCTCCTCGCCCAGGCTTGCGTCGACAACTCAGCCAAGTAAGCCGTTTCTAGAATCAAATACGATTCCTCAAAATCCCGGCTAATTACCCGATTTTTCAGCTGCGCCAGCTGGAGGTCCAACGGTTTCTGCAGCAGCACCTTCTACACGACCGCCTATAAGACGCAGTACTGCCCGGCGAGCTGTAAGCTAAATTCCCTGGTTTTGGAACTCGAGATTTCTAGGTGGTCTCTGTTCGCTGGTTTCGACAACGGCTTCGACGACTGGATGCCGGAATACGAATTCTAAGTAAGGGCATTTTGTCTCTATCTTGCGCGCTCTCGCTCTCTCTGTCTGTCTCTCTCCCTCTCTCTCTCCCGCTTTCAAAGATACCTTTTCCAGCTGCGCCTCGTGGGTGTCCAACGGTTTCTGCACCAGCACCGCCTATACGGCTGCCCAGGTATGAAAACATAAAAACCTAAAAAATGCGAAAATTAAAAACTTTACATTGAAAAAAGTTAGAGATCTTTATAAAAGAATTTTTAAATGATTTTCAATTAATTTAGAAAGCCGCCTATTGCCCGGTGAGCTGCGGACTCTGCGTCTCCACGACGGCTGGTGGGTTTTTCAGTTTAAAAATTCTGGAAGTAATAACACCGTTATTAAACCTCACTTTCTTACTTTAAAAGCCAACAATAAGCAACCTTTTCTAGCTTCAACCGCCACGACGAAAACCAGCACCACCGGCTCGACGGCCACCACCAAGACCAGCACCTCTGCCACCACAAAGACCAGCACGGCCAGCAGCACTTCTGCCTAAATCACTTCAAAACTGATTCCTAATATTTTTGCTATAATGAACATGTATTTAATAAATATTATGAAACGCAGTATTCGCCATACCCCGCTGGCCAAAGAAAGCAAAATTGCTATAGATTTTAAAGGGCTTGTTAGGAAAAAAAGTACGAAACCCGAATTTCTTGCCTAATTCCAACTTCTAGACTCTCTGAAAATTTTAAAACCAACCGGACGCTATAATCGCAAAATTTAATATTGTTTTGCTACCTTTTTATGCCAATTTTGAATGCTTGTCTCGGCAAAAATGACCGGAATGCGGAATTTCTTAATCTTTAACTAATTTTGGCTCAAAACCTTAAAATGGATCGAATTCTAGAAGCCGGCGAGAGTTAATAATGGTTTGCCACAGTTTTACCAAAATTTTGAAACGTTAACAAGGGCAAAAAGGCCAAAACAACCAATGCTCGCTCCACGGCTCCGAAACGCGCGCCACCTGGCCCACCCGGGGGGACGGGGGTATAAAAGAGACCCGGCCTCCCCGTCTTCTCTCGCGTGGCGGGAAGATGGCTTCGAGGGGTTGACCCACAGGTCCTTGTGGCCTTACCGTATACCCCGGGAAGGTCTGAGCGAGTCCAATCCTCCCTAAAAGGTGGACCCCTGAGAGGGGGCGGGCTCAATGGTCCGGGGCCCGAACAGGAAAACGTGCCCGTCGAAAGACGGTTGGGAATCGGGTCTGACCAGCTGAAGCTGAGTGCGATAGCCATGTCAACCAGATAACACAATTCAGACTATTCTCTCGCCACGCAACCCCAAAATTTTTTTGGGTTTTTTGAGTATAAAGTGGTTCGGAGAGCCGGTGGTATTCAAAGAATTTCAGAGGAGAATATCGACATCCATATTCTTGGCACGTTTTGACGATCTGACTGGACAGTCTGACCCTCGCTGCCTTTTAAAGGGGCTCCGAACTGCCAAATCAAAGCCCTTTTGGGAGGCCTCTTTGATTTCGGGCAAATTGCCAGCGGGCGCTGCGGGACAAGAGCCCTCATCTTTCGATTTTTGCGCGAAGTTGTTTTTGCCCGGTTTCTTTGTGAAAACACTCCAATTCGTGCATTCTGAGCCCATTTTTGAAATCCTCACTCAATTTTAAATAGTTTTCGTGTTTTAATCATCAATTTTGGCCCAGAAACAGCCGAGAACGTGATTTCGAGGTGACAACAGGCAATTTCCAAATTTTGCGAGCTTCCCGGCCCCTGGGCGTACAGAGGCCTCCGACGTACAGGGCTCCGATTTTCGGGCCGTCACTCAATTTTTGGCATTTCGTAGCCCCTTTAAAGCGCACGTTCAGGGAGGGGCCGTGTACTCGTCCCAACGTGTACACCCTATGGACGTAGGGACCGCGCGCACTGGCTGCCCGTGGTGTGACAGGCCATTCCCCTCCTTTGCGCCGTGGGGCGCCCCTCACCCGCTCGCCAGGTTGTAGCTGTGGCTGACTGGTATCCATCCGCGCCTCCCGAGCGGGCGGCCCGGGTTCGACCCCCGGCTGCGGCAAAAATCTTTGCTTTTTTTCAAAAAAACGTCCCTGAACGTGCCCTTTAAACGGCGATTTTACTTGTCGGAATTTTGGCCAGTAGCTATTCTGACGTACGTATTTGAGTTACAAGCGGGATTTTTTTGGTAATTTTCGGTCATTATTCTTACAATATTTCTTAATTTTTTACGATTTCTTTCCCACAATTTCTCAAAAGTTAGCTGTTTTACATCTGCAATTTCCTTAATTGATAGTTTTTTTTCAGGTTAGGCGTACTAAACTCGACGGCTTTTGCGCGTAGGCTTAACTTGGCCTGGGAGTCGCGTATTGCGCTAGATTAGCGGCGAAAAACCCACGCAAAAAATTCCAGGCGCTGGACGTGGTTTAAACTTTTGTTAGTTTTTTTATAAACCACAATTTTATGCATAAGCTCCAACGACTCAAGGACACAGATGGACTCGATCGCATGCTTGCTCCGCTGGCCAACCTTGCTCCATCAGCGGGCGCAGTTCAGCGAACTTCTAAATTGAGAAAAATCTGTTTTTCTTCTCTTCTCGACTCGTATTTTTATTCTGGGCTACTTTTGCAACATTTAAAAGTATTAAGGACTGAAGAATTTAAAACTAAAGCTTTTGGACTTACTCTGGTCAACGTCCTTTTGCATTCTGTCCAATGCTCCTCAGAATGTTGGCAAACGTTCGTGATTTCGTCTATCCAGGAGGTTCTGGGAAGGTGGGAGCATTGCTGAAAAAAGGATTTCTCTCTCACTCTCTCTCTCTCTCACTCTCTCTGTCTCTCTCTCTCTTTTACTTACCCGAACATACGCCTGACACACTCCGCACATGAACACGCCGGAGTAGACGGTGGGAAATGAGTACGGTAGGAAGCAAGAAGAGGAAGCGCATTTTAGCCTGTCAAAAAAATAGGCTTTTGGTCAGGGCAATGAGGTTTTTATACCGTGGGGGAAAGGATTTGCATCATAGATTTTATAAAAAAATCTTTTCGTTGTCAGGTAGTGATTCTAAAAATAGTGTTCAATAAGATGTTCTTGGTCTGAATTTATGATAGGATTTATCCGGACATATTTTTTACAGCTTCAATTCTCGCACTTGTTCTCTCTCTCTCTCTCTCTCTCTCTCTCTCTCTCTCTCTCTCGCTAACCCTCTCTCTCCCTCGCCCTCCCCGTTCTCTCTTTCTCTTTTCTCTCTGGCTAGCTCGTTCTCCCTTTCTCTCGCTCTCTCTCCCTTTTTAATTTCATCTTTTACACGTTTTAGAATTTTAGAAAGTTAAAGAAAGAAACCAAACCTTTATTCAGAAATTTTTGTAGGCAAGCCGCTTAAGCCAAGAAAATATCCTGATCATGAATATATTTAGGCTGCCGTCGTGGAGGCTGTGCTGCTGCTGGAGGCCGTGCTCGAGGAGGAGACCGTGCTCGAGGAGGAGGCCGTGCTAGCCGTGCTGCCGGTGGAGCTCGAGCTGGCGGTGGAGGCAGTGGAAGCGGCTGAAAAAAATTATCCAAATTTTATTGGATCATTCGTAAATAATCTCTGCTAGCTGGCCCGCTCGTCTCAATTTGAGTAGAAAATGGTCATTTTTAGGCGAAAAATCGAGATTTTTGAATTTTTCGAATCGAAATTTGCAACGTTCTTACGTTTTTGTGTTTTGTTTTCCACATAAATACCCTCCCCCGATAATGCCAAAGAACCGCAAATCCTACCCGTCGTGGCTCCGCACAGGCTGCAGCTGTTTGGGCAGTAGGCTTCTTTCTAAAAACCGGAAGTTGCCCTGAGTGAGGTTTCCAGCAAACCTGAGCAGTGGTGTAGGCGCTGTTGGTGCAGAATCCGTTGGCTACCCAGGCGGCGCAGTTCGAGTTGTCCGTACAGCTTGAAGACGTCGTCGCCGAGCAGAGGCTGCCTGGAATTGTTGCCTTAAGTGACTCTATTAATGGGCGTATGTAAAAACCGACCACGCAGGATGTTCTATAGATTCCCAAGCTTGCCGAGGCCTTTAAACCCAAATTTTTGGGATTTTTAAGCTTACAAGCGTACGCGCAGTACGACAAGCGCTCGGCGTATGTGTAGAAGCTGTTGGTGCAGAAGCCATTGGCCGCCCAGTTGGAGCACCTGAAAACGAAGATTTATAAATCCTTAGGTATCTCTGGAGTGGGCAGTTTAACAGAGATTCTTTGGGAATCTACAAATTCGAGATTTTCGGCCGACTGCGGAGGTAATTTCCAGTACCTGAAATTCATGTTTTACTAGGGATATCTAGGGATTCTTTAGAAATGTCTGGGGCATTGGTGCTATCAGTGCGCACTAGGACTAGGCCATCCTTTGGGAAACGATAGTTCCCGAAGTTTTTGTGGCAGACTAGCAGAGGTGCCTTCTAAATCACCAGAATACGAAGGTTTTTATTAGGCAGGCTAGCTTAGGCAATTCAGGAATGGCTGGAACCAGACGATTTAGAATAGGCAAGCTAGCAGAGCTTCTTTGGGGTCGCGGAATCAGCTTAAGATTGGCTGATTACCTGGAAACTTACTCCGAATAGCTGTCCGAGCATGCGTCAACGGCGAGGAGGGCTAGAATTTGGGTCAACTACCGTAGCCAGATGTAACTTACCACAAGCCAGAGCAGCCACAAGCTTCAGCATCTTCTAAGCGGCAAGCACAAGCCTCGAAATAGTGAAGAATCCGAATTCTTCCATCCTTTTATACCACAAATCCTTTCGAATTTCGCGCAAATTTGCGTAGTCCCATGGTGATGATGGTGTTGGTGATCAGGCTCAGGTTTAAGAGAGAGAGCACGAGAGAAAGAGAAAGACGGTTCATTGTTTCCGCTAAAAACACGACTCCAACTTGTTTAGCTTCAAGTTGAGCCAAAACGGGCTGCTCAAATAGTGCATGCACCGGATCCGCGACGCTTGTTCTGATGGTTGTCTGGTCCCCAAAAATCCACGGGACGTCGCAAAACTGTAGCCAATCGTTTTGGTGTTTCGATGAAGCCGAGGAAACGATGAGCAAAGAGCGAAATACCGATTTTGTAGGGCGGTCATGGGTTCGATGAAGCGGCAGTGATCCGGAGATTTTAAAAGAGCTTGAAAGGCACAATCCACAACCTTCCAGATTTCAATACCTAAAAATCCATTCTGAACGAACGAAGAAAAAAAGCCGATTTAACCCGATAAAAGTTAAAAGTGAGGACAATAGCCCATTTTTGAGGCTTTCAGCATGGTCTACTATAATCGTTAGCAAGTTTGCAGCATCGTCCTGTCATCTGGAGCACCCCGTATTCGCTTGTACGGTCGCAACAAGTATCGCAACGTACAAATCACCGACCGACAGGTATCATAAAATACGAATTAGCTCGTACGGTAACCTCAATCGTGCTGTTGTGATGTGCGGTGCTGTATTTCGTAACGTAACGGGCTTCCTTCTCGGCCTTGATGAAAATTAATTGACCATAACGTATAACGAAGTTAGATTTGTTAAATTTAGTTGTGTGATATTTTAATTTTCTGCATATTTGAGGTAAATAAATTTTGGCAAAAAGAAAATGAAAGTGAAATTTAGAGAAAGGAACTTTCACAAAATGAATGTCAACGAAAGGAATTTCGACTTCCTGGTAGCAATTTCTTTAATAGCACCTGCCCTGCCCATTTACACATCCGGATACACAATTCAAATCTCCATTTTCGCGTTCCGGTCTCAACTCAAGTTTCGAGACATGCACCCGCCCCATTCTCCCACCATTGTCCACCCGAAAAACCCGAGTTTTTCCGCCGGAATGGCGCACCATTCGCAACGGCACAAAAACCGTTATAGGTATTGTGAGGAGCGAGGGGCGGGGTATGGCGGGAGAGAGAGAGAGAGAGCGAGAGAGAGAAACAAAGAGTGTATCGGGGAACGAAGACGGTCGATTGATATTTGCATACGTCTCTCCGTTCCCCGTCTCGGAACGGGCGGCGTTGACGCATCGTTTCCGGAACGTATAGCGTTATCTGAACTCAGTCGGTTTCTAACAGAAATAGATTAATTTGACGTTTTTATTTTTATTTGACGTTTTGGAATTTAACCCTAAAGAAATCCGGAGAGAAAATTATTTTTTAAAATTAAATTATCAAATTCGGGCGTTATTGTTCAGCTTCTTTCAAAAATTTTCTTTTTCCTTTGAAATTTTGCTGTCTCTCGCTCTCACTCTCTCTCGCTCTCTATCTCCCTCTCTTTCTGCACAGAGGTATATTTTCGGCTTCAGTACGAATTTTGCGAGCCAGCAAAGATTCTTGGGGAAAATCCGGGTCTCGAAAACAAGTTTTTCCAACCGGATTGTTTACCTTTCTCACGCCTCTGCCTTGCCGAAATCGGAAATCGGAAATGCAAAGAGCTCGGGGAGTCAAAAAATCCCCCGATTTGAATTTGGAATATCCTCGCTCTCCTCGCTCTCTCTCTCTCTCTCTCTCTCTCTCCCTTTTTCTCTCTATCTCTTCCTATCTCTCTGTCCTCTCTCCTTAAGACCACGAAATTACTACCCTCGAGCTCGTGCTCACTGGCCAGTTGGACCTCCCCGTCCCCTTGATCGTCGTTATCCGTCAAGTGCCCTCTTTTCTGGCCATTTCCCGGGTGGGCCCTAAGAAGTGGCCAATCTGGCGGTTGTGAGCAGGGCCAACTGCTCATCCTCCTCTGGGGTCTGTCCATCCCTGACCGGGCTGTTTTCACCCCCGATCGCTTTTGACCGAAATGAAGTACCCATCCCCTTGCCCTGTCAACTCGGCTCGGGTTTCGCCCACACCTTATATTTTTGACTCGTGTAGCAAATGGACGTTCGAGGTATTTTATACCAAATATCTGCCGGAACAATCTCGACAGTCGACAATCCCGACAACGAAAAAAATCCCGATGGAAAATCTCGACAACCAAATTCGGGTATTCGGACAAATGCGTAAAATTTATTTGTGGCCCTTGTCGGCATTTCTGGCCTTTGGATCATGACTGTCGACGTTTGGATGTACGAGTTTTACTTGTTCGGATTTTGCATGTCCGCATCTTTGCCTTGCCGCGATCTCGGCTGTCGGTATTTTATCATGTCACCATTTCCGGATGTCGTTATTTTTGATAGCCGGGAGTGATCCTGTCGGCATCTTTCAGTGGGATTGTAGTTTGGTTGAGTTTTCATAGATGTTGGGGTTCTGGCCTCTCCGGTTACGGCTTTCGGTATTTTGACGGCAGCAGTTTTAGCCCGTCGATATTTTATCATTTCAAGATTTTAGGTGTAGTGATTTTGACTCTTTTGTCATTTATGCTGTCGGGATTTTTTCTGCTGGTATCTCGGAATTTTTCCTAATTGATGGTATTTTCACCAGCTACCCCGAGAAGCTCTTAAAACACCAGTATTTCTGAGCCGACTAGCCAGAGGGTAGCCAAGAAGGGGGCTAATCTCCCGCCGATCGAGTTCTGCCCCGGACCTTCGGATCCGCCCAGGTGGACAGGTGTATGTCAAATTTTACTCCGTGCGCATGGGAAGCGGTCGTCTGGAGCTCATTTTTGCTGGGGTAAATCGATTTCCTAAATGGGCTTTGCTAGCCAGATTCCCCATTTTTTAGTTATTTGTATCTCTCACACGCTCTCCCTCCTCTCCCTCTCCCTCTCTCGCTTCACTCACTCACTCTCTCTCTCTCTCTCTCTCTCTCTCTCTCTTTCTCACTCTCTTTCTATCATATTTGGATAATACCAGTCTTCAACATCTTATTTTCGAAAACATTTCCAAATAATCTCCACTAGCTAATTTTATCCCACTTTTTTTTTTTCCCAGCGCCTCATCTGCTTTTAAAGCTTTCAAGGTTCCATCCCCC